TACAATACCTACTCTTAGTGGTTACTGTTGCAGTTCTTGGTACCTCATGCAGTAATGCAATTTCACCAAATATGTCGCCAGCAGTTAAAACACCCATATCAATTTCTTTAGTCTCATCTAACACATGTAAGATTTACAGCAAAATTAATCGTCTGTGGATACCCTAATCGACTGGCGAAATGTAAAATTAGATTGTTCGACGAAGAGAAATCGCGCGAGAGAAACATAAAGTTCCGACAATTTGATTGTTAAGTTAATTGTTTACAGCAATCTAAAAAAGTTGAATAGGAAAGATTTCTCGTTGATTTTGTAAATATTTGTGTAAGCTTTACATGCAAAGCGTTCGCAGTTTTTTTAACATTTGAAAGTCTCACGAACTCGTCCAGCGGTCGGTAACTGTCCTCGATAGGCTGACTTCTCCATTTACTATGAAATAGAGATTCTCGGCTTCACGACCTTGCCGTACGATCACTCTACCAGGTCTTAAGTACTGATAGAGGCAGACACCTGCCACAGATTCCTTTAAATTATCCGGATACTTTCGGAACGCGTGAAATTTCTTGAACAATTCGAATATGTACGCTTTTTCCACGGATGTCCTTTGAGACGGTCTAATCAGAAGCGTAGAACGATCCTTGAATATAAAATAATATTTCATCTATCGTAGGTGTTACCAAGCTGTCCCGTAAATATTGTGCAGTTCTGGTTACTCTGATTTTGATTATTTACAGAATTTGATTACGTAAATATACGTCTCCATAAAACATGAGGGACAGACGTTCAAAGTTTCTGAGATTTTCACCGAGATTCCTCACTATTTATAGTCGAAAATTGTTCTTAAATCATTGTTTTTAAACGAATTAAGCAACGCAGTAAAATGCTGATTATTTTCTAACAGTACGCAATTTGCGAGAAAATGTATTCGACCAACCTCAAGGGACAAACCTTTCTTTTCTACTTTCTTCTGCTGAGCCATTCGGATGTTAACTGCCACATCGTCACTTATTTCCTCGACCACTGGCACTTCCGTCAACCATTCAATGTACTCTAAGACCAGTCTCGTACTAGCTCGGAAAAGGTACTGTCCTTTCAACCTATACACCTATTAATCGTGACTAATCAATTTATTATCCGATGTAGTCTAATACTAATGCGCGATCGAAATATATTTTAACCCTCTGCACCCGGATGCCAAAGTGTAATTGTTTTTTAATTATTATATTTTTCATACTGCAAGGTGATCGAATAAAATACATATACATAAAGGTACAAAATCTTTTATTTATTAATTCCTATAAAATATCGCAGCAGTGTAATGATTTTTATTTCAATTCGACTTTGTACAGCAAAATCACAATTTGTGCAAAATTTATTAAGCTGACTGAGAGTACAAGAAAATAAGTTATACAATCTTCCGAAATACACAATAAACATTGAGCTGTTATTATTGTAAATGATATACGTATACAGGAAAATAGAAAAAACATACAGTAATCTTTTCAAAAAAAGAGATTATTGGAAGAAACAACATAATTCGAATAAGCTTCAATTAATCAAATCAACCAACCTTCAAACAACAATTTCGACTCACCCTACTAATAAACGTCGATCTCCTCGCCAAAACATCTAAGAACGATTCTCGAAGGGAAGTTCCTCTTCTGTACATCGTCATCATTCTCTGCTATTAAGTGCCCGTGAGCTTGAAACAGAGGCGCACCATCTAAAAAGAAACCCACTTCGTAATTTCTTAATAAGCACAATGTTAATTTGTTGAACCCGACAGCTACAAATATTATGAATTGATATTCACGGAGAACGGGCACATTGTTTTATCGATAAACGTACGGAAGATTGCGCATGCACTGAATACACAATGAAATTTGCTGCGGGCAAACACTATAGTCTCTCGTTAATAAAACACTAATTTTTCCGATATGTGGAATACCGAGAATTATTATGCGTTCAGTATCTCAAATGCTGAATTAAATCGGATTTACGTTAACGATTATCCTATCGTGTGAGAAAGATATAACAAAAATAATATGATACATAAATATTATTATATATGATATACAGGAATAAACAAGATAAATTCTCAATCCCCAATCCTGCTTTCTGAACAATTCGAATAATTTGCCATTTTCTTGTCACTTTGCTATCTGCAGCAAACGATTAACGATGGCCCAAATTATTTTATCCGACTTTCTGTTTGCAACTGTAACAAATCTAATGATTCTTACACGTCACAGGAATTGTCATTCATAATAATATGATTATAGAATATATAATTATATATTAATATAAATTATAATATATAATTATATATTAATATAAATTATAATATATAATTATATATTAATATAAATTATAATATATAATTATATATTAATATAAATTATAATATATAATTATATATTAATATAAATTATAATATATAATTATATATTAATATAAATTATAATATATAAAATAATTGTATAAACCAACTAAATAAATGTATAAAATAATTTCGGAACATTATTATAGTCTGTATGTAGATTTAACATAGTAATTTACAGAATTACGGTTATATTACTATTTATTCTATTTATTCTAAACGTCTGTATTCATTGATTTCCTAACTAATGAGTAATTTTCCGTAGGAATTTAATAGATAAATAAATAAATAAATATCGTAAGGTGTCATAGAACGCAATTTAGAGAGAAATAAAGCGAGGATACCGACCGGGCCAGAAAACTTGACATACTTTCTTCTCTTGGAGGACGAGAAGGGACGGGAACCCCGACACCTTCGACTCTGTCGTTCAAGACAGCGTCCACCCACCAATTCCAGGAGACTGCTGATTGGGAATCAGATGCTAAAATTAAAACTCATCAATGCGTGAATAGCCCGGGCAGGTCCGATCGATAGAGATTTAATTAAAACGCAGTCATTCGGTGTTTACCGTGGCCGGGTCGTGCGGGACGAACCTATGTAACCTTTATGACGGGCCTGTTCAAGCGTGACAGTATGTGGCCCGATATTTCCATCTATTACCGGCAAGGATAGAAATATTACACAGCCCGATGACGTGCATGAAGCTTCGCCGCGCGTTTCACATTGTCGATTCATATCAAAGGAACAAATGAAACCGTAGATGCGCCGCACGGTGGCGAGCCCTTTTTTCCCTCTTTTATTCTTTTTTAGATAATAATGTGACGACGCGAAGTCAATGGGTGGACGGCTGGACACCAGCAAGGATCGCATTGTCGGAACGAAAAAAATGCTGAATACTCGCGAAAATGATGCGTTTTGTGGCGTCGCATCCCTCTACCTGAGCGCGGCCGCTAGCAATAAAACAACTACCGTTCCTAATCCTCAAAATTCCCTAAAAATCACGCACCCCTAATAAAACAATTCTCCTCACATCTGGACACCTCGATCCGCACGGGACTTTTCCAACTTTCTCCTTTCCTACGAAAATCCATCTATTCCTTTCTTCTCTTCCACTATAAAAGAGACAAACGCGCAACTCAAAAAGCTCAGTCTGTCCTAAGTTGCTAGTCCTACGACACCACGCTAGTCGCGCCCGCGCTCATCGATAACAATTCAATAAACTGCATTAATAGTAACCTTAAACACGCTCTCCGATTCGCTAACCTTCCCTTCAGCGCTAAAGTTTTTTTCCACTTTTGTCTCTCGTCGTTGACCTCACCGACTCTGGAAACGGTTGGAGATCGCCGTTTTGCTAACGGCTTTGACATCGAAGATGCCCTCTTTTTGGTCGAATTTTTTCGTTCTTAAATTTGATGCAGATGGAATTGTCCAAGTAGGGAGATTTATTTCAGGATTTCTTGTTAAACCTGGTCAAGATGTGACAGTCTGACGCATGTCGAAACCAGATCAATTACATTGTATTTAAATTACATTGTGATTCAACTATATTGTAATTCATTTGCATAATTCAAAGCTTTCAGTAAATTTAATTACTAATTATTTTAATCATGAGAGAATTTAAATGCAACGTAATTGAATTACAATGTATTTGAAATACAATATAATTGAATTCTTTTGTAATTGTAATGCCTTGTGTCATTCAGTTGGCTTCTTGAGGCTTCTATTTTGTACAATATATGCAAACAACTTTTATTTCGCATACAGATCCGGAATCTAGTTATAGCATTTCGCTTATCCTATTTCTCATTGTTACCGAATTTCATTTTATTTATTTTATTTATCCATGTATACCGATGAAAAATATTTCTTCGTTTCAGAAGAAGCATTAAACACAAAGAGATTTTATACAGGGTGTCCCACAATTATTTTAACAGCCGAAAATGAGGGGTAGCTGAGGTCATTTGAAGTAACTTTTTCCTTTGCGAAAATGCAATCCGCGGCTTTGTTTACGAGTTATTAACGAAAAACACTGGCCAATGAGAGGTGACGGTGCGAGAGAGAGAGTCCGCGAGAGAGTACGCAGCACGAGGTTTTGACAGATGGTCGGGACGGACTCGAGCCACGTTCGAAGTATTGAACAAATTACGAAGCGAGAACTTTCAGGATTTTTTTTTACTACGTAACAGTGATATTTTTAAGAAAAACGCTGTTCACCTTTACTTTAGAACGTCTGAAGAATATTTACTCATTTTTCAGACCCGAAATAATAAATAATTTAACCGTGACGGCCGTTTTAATTTTCTAGTGTGCATGACACCTCGTGTGTAACATGTGAAATTTTTAAGCAAGGTGTGCAGTGAAGGTTAACAAAGTACGTAAATGATATTTTACGTAAATGATATTTTAATTTAAATAATTCCGTGTCTGAACACAGTTCGACGAATGATTCGCAAAACTAATTTAATAAATAATAATCGTGTTAAAGGACGTAAGGGATATGTTTGTTAGAGAAATATGAAGAATATTATCAATAAGAAACTCACCCATTTAGTTGTAAAATCCACTTCATGCACGGAAATGTGTGCAGGAGGATAGTGCATTGACCTCGTACAATGTATGATGAACTGCACAGCTGATCTGTATCCGACGGCGACGAACAGAAGGATATCTCCGGGCAGGCAATTTCAACGTTTACTTTCACTGCATTATTACTAAACACTGATCACTTATCAATAATATTTATGGACCAACTTTCCTGGGTTAATATGTATAGCTCTGAAAAGAGCCGATTTTTTTATGCGACGCGTTCGAAGTTCTCACTGTTATCGACACGTATGTACCGCGTTGTCGAGATGAACTGCAGAAGACTGGCACGATGGCCGACTGTGTTTCGTTCTCCTACGAGCGAATTTCAACTGTTTTTCATCGAACGCGAACATTGTCAGCCATCGTGCTAGTCTTCCGCAGTTTATCCCGTCAACGCGGTATGTGTTCTTAACGATATGAACTTCGAACGCGTCGCATAAAACAATCGGCTCTTTTCAGGGCCATACATATTAACCCAGGAAAGTTGGTCCATAAATATTATTGATAAGTGATCAGTGTTTAGTGATAATGCAGTGAAAGTAAACGTTGAAATTGCCTGCCCGGAGATATCCTTCTGTTCGTCGCCGTCGGATACAGATCAGCTGTGCAGTTCATCATACATTGTACGAGGTCAATGCACTATCCTCCTGCACACATTTCCGTGCATGAAGTGGATTTTACAACTAAATGGGTGAGTTTCTTATTGATAATATTCTTCATATTTCTCTAACAAACATATCCCTTACGTCCTTTAACACGATTATTATTTATTAAATTAGCTTTGCGAATCATTCGTCGAACTGTGTTCGGACACGGAATTATTTAAATTAAAATATCATTTACGTAAAATATCATTTACGTACTTTGTTAACCTTCACTGTACACCTTGCTTAAAAATTTCACATGTTACACACGAGGTGTCATGCACACTAGAAAATTAAAACGGCCGTCACGGTTAAATTATTTATTATTTCGGGTCCGAAAAATGAGTAAATATTCTTCAGACGTTCTAAAGTAAAGGTGAAGAGCGTTTTTCTTAAAAATATCACTGTTACGTAGTAAAAAAAAATCCCGAAAGTTCTCGCTTCGTAATTTGTTCAATACTTCGAACGTGGCTCGAGTCCGTCCCGACCATCTGTCAAAGCCTCGTGCTGCGTACTCTCTCGCGGACTCTCTCTCTCGCACCGTCACCTCTCATTGGCCAGTGTTTTTCGTTAATAACTCGTAAACAAAGCCGCGGATTGCATTTTCGCAAAGGAAAAAGTTACTTCAAATGCCCTCAGCTACCCCTCATTTTCGGCTGTTAAAATAATTGTGGGACACCCTGTATAGAAGGTATTCTTGAACTATTCTGACTTTATGTTTAGGATCATTATCTTCATAATATTTAAATGCGTGTTCTATGCCCATTACGGTCGCACTTTTCTTAAGATTTTGTTTTAAAATATTTAGATACTTAAATTTGTCTAAAATTTCCTCTATAAAAACCAGTTGTCCAACTCCTTTTGGTGAAATACACCATCACACCATAATACTTCCACCACCGTACTTTATTGTTGGATTTTAATTTATTCGGTTAAGTTCTTGATTTCATTTACGCCATGCTAATTTTCCCCCATCAGTGTTAAACAGATTAAATTTACTTTCATCGGCAAAACTAACATTGTTCCACCAAGTTTTTTTCTTATGAATATATTGTTTTACAAAAGCTAATCTTTTTCTGTGATTCGCCTCGTGTTCGCGCGTATCTTACGTGCCACTCTGCCATTATATCCATCTGTTTTCGACGTATTGTATCTGGATGAAGTACTGCATCCTCCTCCTGAATCGCTTGATTTAAATCCAATTG